ATATACCGTATTGGCCCGAATATAAGACGATCCTGATTATAAGACGACCCCCCTTTTTCCAGATGTACCTTTTGGAAAAAGGCTTTTAAAAAATCAAGTCTTGTTTTTTCTCAGTTAAACACATTTTGTCTTCAAATATTTTTATATTGCATATTTTTCCTATTTTAATTTTTGTTTTGAAAGTATGGTAAAAACTGGTAAAATGTACCAGCAATCACATTTAAAAAATATACACTTTTTGATATACCATTAAAAATTGAATTAGGACATTTAGGCTATCCATCTAATAGTAGCCTACCAAAATCTTATTAACAGTAGAAGTTAAATCTTACTGTAGTCTTCAAATCTGGGTACTGTCTTACGTTTTAAAATCACAAAGAGAGTTTGGTCCCATCAGGCTAACGTGACCGTCACGACTCATGCAGCTGTAAGCTTTTCTTTCTCTTTTGTTTTTACTCGCGATCTTTACAACACGCATTACATTACGTATTTCACGGCACACTGGTTTTATGTGTATTTGGCGCCACCTATTGTTGTGGGTGTATTACTGACATGTCAAAGTCTAGACCCTGAATATAAGACGACCGCGTTTTTTCAGATGTATTTCCAAAAAAAAAACATTCTTATATTCGGGTCAATACGGTATATATCACACTCAAAAACACAATTATTTTATATATTATACAATTATTAAATATTAATACTATATATTTAAATATCAATTTGATGTATTTACTTTTTTTGTTTTTTAGCTATATTTAGTGTATGTATATGTATATATATATATATATATGTATTTTAAAATAAATATTTAAAATATACATAAACACAAAATGCATTTATTTGATATATTATACAATTATTAATTAATAATTAATTAAATTTTATATTTATTGTTATTTATTTTTAAATACATAATACAGTAATGAGATTTAAGACAAATTGTAAATGAAAAGGCGTCCTTTTATTATTTCTCAGACAAAATGCTGCACATTTCTTTGCGAAATTGAAATATGTCAAATAACAAAACTACATTTAAATTTTAAAACAAATTCCAAATAATAATAAATCAATAATACAAATAAAAGAAATCTCTTCATATAAACAAACTAAGGCTTCGCCTGTGCTCTTTCCATTTAAAATTAGAAGCAACCACTGCATTTTAATCACGATCCAAACAAAGATGCTGCGTACATGC